CCTCCTCCCTCCCCCCACACATCTCTATAAATTGCATATCGTTGTGTTCCTTGTGACAATTTATTAAAAAAAAGCCAATGTTCCCACAAAAAAAAAGTGAGCGCACTGCCCCAAAATGGCGTCCAAAGATGGCGGATTGACGACTTTGACTTTAGTTAGTTTTTTGGTCACTGAGAATCAGCATTTGGCTTAATTTCCTCATAGTTGGTCTTTTATTAAAGCTGAGTAGTCATAAAATAATAAAACATGAAGAAATATTAAAAAATAATTGGCTTAGGCTACGAAAAACACCAGTAAAGTCAATTTTTTTTACAAGAAAATTTTCAAGTTACAAATCAAGCGTTTTTTGTAATTAAACGGCCTACAATAACGCAAAACGTGCTGAAATAAAACATCTGGAGAATATATTTCTCTTTCTAAATCATTGATTACTTTTTAAAATATTTGAAGCAGTTCCGTAGAAAATGCACTTAAGCAGAAGAAAAGCGTACTGGCGTGGGTGCCTACAGGCCTCTACCACACCATTCAGTACACATGAATGGCTTAGTTATAGTGATATAATAACATTTTTGGTACATTATATTGGTTTTATTAACAAACAAATATTAATGCAATAGTTTAATTGGAAATAAATAAAAAATTAAAATTAAAAAAAAAAAATTTATTATTATTTTTTTACAATTTAACCTCCTTTATTCTATACGTAGGTCGTTTAAGAAGACCTCAATTGTAAAAATGATATAATTATAATAATAAAACTTAAATACTTTACTAAATATCTTGATTTTTTTTATTTAACGTTTGCAATTTAACACTGTGTTTTGTATATTTACTGATTCTTAGAGGTAATTAAAATTTTTATATACTTCCCAGGAAATGAGTCATATTAATACCTGTTTTATAAACTAAAATAATATATACCTAATCTGAACTATATATAATGAATAGCTACCGGGTTGATTAGTAAAACTCATGTATCACTAATTAAAAAAATATTTTTTATTTCCTTTATTTTGTGCGGAAGTTGGACTATATCATAAATAAATAGGAAATTTTAATAGTGAATGAATTATTCTCTCTGCACAAAGAAAGAGAGAAAGGGTGAGGCTCCAAGTTCTTCTATAAACCAGAACTGATTGTTTGTTTTTGGTATCAAAATAAGGAAAAACGGGAAATTGAATCATAAAATTGGAAAAATACATCAAGCGAACGAGAAAAGAAGTTTCAAAACCTCGGTAAAAGATAAAAAGGACCAGTATCCATTATATAGCTAAATGAATGTATAGTAGACAGATGAGCAGAATATTTCAAGATGCTGCTAAAAGAGGGTCAATTGCAGTTTGGATGATATTAAGTGGACGATGTAGGTTTATTATGGTGAAAACCACTTTATTTTCGATTGCTGAAGGTGCACATCGGGACTATCTTCACTTTGAAGCCGACTCTATATCCTGTATAGAGAGGTATATCAAGAATGTTATGGCTCTTAGCTCTCCTTCTGCTTAGTGCATTTGCAAAATATTTTTTAAGGAGTCTAAAAGGAAAACGAGCTTTTCTGAATGACAATTAGATATTAGCACAATTCAAAGTGTGAGGCACTAAGCAGATAGAGAGCTCTTTTTCTTTTTATATGGACTTCTCTATAACCTGTCTTAAAGCAAAGACAGTCCCAATTTCAACTTCTCTTCCTATGTGCAACTTGAGTTTCTCAATCCATATCGGTCTGGCAATCGACAATATTTCTTATCCCAGCTTCTACGATTCTTGAGTATAATTTGTTTGGTACACTAAACAGGAATGGATCTTGATGGGTATTACATTTCCTAGTATCTCCTTTCTTGTAAAGTTAAAAACCAGTCCTTAACTAAGTCTAAAAACTAAGTCCTTTCATATCATTTTCTAATATACTTGTTGCCTGTGTACGCGCAAATCTGTGCGAAGCAGTTCTGTTTCGCCCTTTCCATCTTTCTTTGTGCAGAGAGAATAATGCATTCAATATTAAAATTTCCTAATTTTTTATGATATGGTGCAAATTCCAAATAATTTATTCCACAATTTCTGAACAATAACGACCTATAACTAATATAAGATTCCTTAAAAAATCTTTTGCAAATGCATTAAACAGAAGGAGAGCTATGAGCTATAAATTTCTCGATCCTCTGTCCTGCTTCTAAGTGAAGATATTCTCGATGTGCACCTCCAGCAATCGAAAATAAAGTGGTTTTCACCATAATAAACCTACATCGTCCACTTAATATCATCCAAACTGCAATTGACCCTCTTTTAGCAGCATCTTGAAATATTCTGCTCACCTGTCTACTATACATTCATTTAGCTATATAATGGATACTGGTCCTTTTTATCTTTTACCGAGGTTTTGAAACTTCTTTTCTCGTTCGCTTGATGTATTTTTCCAATTTTCTGATTCAATTTCGCGTTTTTCCTGGTTTATAGAAGAACTTGTAGCCTCACCCTTTCTCTCTTTCTTTGTGCAGAGAGAATAATTCATTCACTATTAAAATTTCCTATTTATTTATGATATAGTCCAACTTCCGCTCAAAATAAAGGAAATAAAAAATATTTTTTTAATTAGTGATACATGAGTTTTACTAATCAACCCGGTAGCTATTCATTATATATAGTTCAGATTAGGTATATATTATTTTAGTTTATAAAACAGGTATTAATATGACTCATTTCCTGGGAAGTATATAAAAATTTTAATTACCTCTAAGAATCAGTAAATATACAAAACACAGTGTTAAATTGCAAACGTTTAATAAAAAAAATCAAGATATTTAGTAAAGTATTTAAGTTTTATTATTATAATTATATCATTTTTACAATTGAGGTCTTCTTAAACGACCTACGTATAGAATAAAGGAGGTTAAATTGTAAAAAAAGTAATAATAAATTTTTTTTTTTTTAATTTTAATTTTTTATTTATTTCCAATTAAACTATTGCATTAATATTTGTTTGTTAATAAAACCAATATAATGTACCAAAAATGTTATTATATCACTATAACTAAGCCATTCATGTGTACTGAATGGTGTGGTAGAGGCCTGTAGGCACCCACGCCAGTACGCTTTTCTTCTGCTTAAGTGCATTTTCTACGGAACTGCTTCAAATATTTTAAAAAGTAATCAATGATTTAGAAAGAGAAATATATTCTCCAGATGTTTTATTTCAGCACGTTTTGCGTTATTGTAGGCCGTTTAATTACAAAAAACGCTTGATTTGTAACTTGAAAATTTTCTTGTAAAAAAAATTGACTTTACTGGTGTTTTTCGTAGCCTAAGCCAATTATTTTTTAATATTTCTTCATGTTTTATTATTTTATGACTATTCAGCTTTAATAAAAGACCAACTATGAGGAAATTAAGCCAAATGCTGATTCTGAGTGACCAAAAAACTAACTAAAGTCAAAGTCGTCAATCCGCCATCTTTGGACGCCATTTTGGGGCAATGCGCTCACTTTTTTTTTGTGGGAACATTGGCTTTTTTTTAATAAATTGTCACAAGGAACACAACGATATGCAATTTATAGGGATGTGGGGGGGGAGTGCATGGTAAGGGGGTCTGGCCCACAGACTAAATCTTCAAAGCCTAATTTGTCCCGTACAGATCTACAGACTTACCACCATTCCAGTATTGAAGCCTAGCAAAATGTTTGTATCGACTTTATTTATTTTAGAAAGAAAAACAAAAGTGGAGAATACAATTTGATAACCCCTCCCCCCTCCCGTGAAATTCTTAATCCAACGGTACCCCATTCATGGTATTTGAGCATGACAGGAGCTTATATTAGATACAAAAGCGATTTCGAGCCTTCCTGTAATAATATATGTGGGGATTAAATAAGTGTCTTTTTTAATGTAGGCCTACAATTTTGTATGGTAGGATACGTTTTTTCCCAGTTTTACGATTACTCATTTGTGGTTAAATCACAAATGAGTTCTGTTGTTAATTAGTAATATCTTGTTCTTATCTATTTAGAGCTGGGCTCTCCAAACTAGTGCTCGCAAACACTTCCAGTCCATCCCATGAAACTTTCTCTTTGAAAGCTCATTTCAAATCTGAAGTGATTCATTTATAGAACAAGATTATTTTTTTCAAGCCATGGCCTACAGGACTCAGTGAAGGTCTCAATGTTGCCTGCAAGACTTGGTGGGGATCTCAATGTCCAAAAAGTTTGACAGAGATCTCTGATTTAGAATAACAGAAATGTAATTGGTAATTCTTTTTAAAAAAACATGACAAAATATTCCATGAAAGCATGTCCAAGGGTTTCTGTTTTGAAACAAACACTATAAATAATATAGAGGTTAAAATAAGATGTTGGTTACTTGAGATGTTGAGGAAGAAGTCTTTTTCTCCTGCGTTGAATATTTTTCTGTAACACAATATTACCATTTTTTAATGTTACCCCCTATCTCGCTTCTAAGCATGTGTAGGGGGAGGGGAGCTTGTTCTAGAAGTATAACAAAACCTATTCTAACCAAAATACGAAGACTCATTCCGTGGGTCCGCCGCAAAGTAAAAATCTACCTTTCTAGTCCAAATGCCAATTGGCATCTCTAAGCACGAGAATGCTCAAATCCACTCAGCCATCTCGACCTCACAATATTACCATCTAGGGAAACTTCAGGTCTTCTGTATTTTATTCCAACTTCTTCAGTAAGGGAAAAGATTCAGTGCGAGAGAGGGAGAAACCTTCCTTAAGTTCGCCTACATTTTATTCTGACTTCTAATATTTCCATATTATTACAAATATATATTTTAATAAGGTGAAGAAGGGAAATTTTTAAGTAAACTATAAATGAATTCTCAGCTAAGATATAGATAACTAGGGTTTTTTTTTTTTTATATTTAGCTACTACAGTAGTACTTTTCATATATTCCTTGAAGACACCATATAAAAACTTTCTTTGTTTTTATTATTTTATTAATCTCTTACATTTTGATCTTTGTTAAATATACTTTGTATCATTTTTAGGTTTCAACTAACACCAACAATTCAGCTGTAAGGTTAGTACCAGTTTCAAACTCAAGAGGTTCTAGTACACAAGAACAGCAAACGTCTCCACAACAGCCTCCAATGACCACTCATGCAAATAAAGCTACTTCACCTATTCCTATTCAAGTATGCATTAGTTTTTTTATTATTGCTTCATTATTTCCTATTAAATAATATCTGTATATGATGTATTACTTATCTTAACAATTTCATTATTTAGAAATTACTTGGATTGTTCTAAAAGTAAAAACTAGAATCTTTTCTGCGTAAAACATTATGTGAAAGCAGGTTGAATTGTTTTTGTTTTTTTCATTGAAAATAATCTGTGCATTCTTACAATATTAAGGTTGGAATACACATGACCACACCTTGGCCAAGTGTTAGTGATAGAATAATAGTCTTCTACAATACATAGGAAAAATTCTTACTTCATCGCACACAGGCTGCACAGTGTCCGCACCAGGCCAGTTAAGGTTGGTTTACTTTTTGGCATTGTTGGTATGGTGTTACTGTGCATCTCAAATTTAAATTGAAAAGTTAGTTGAAGAAATACAAAAGTTTTGGATCCTACATGACCAAATCACATGTTTAAATTTTCAAATATGTTTTATCAATCCTTTAGAGTCAAAATAAAAAAGTAAACAAGATTGAAGTATATACTTAGTTAAGGCCAACACATGGGGACCTGCTATAGCCATTTGTGGTTTCATTGAGACTAAGATGGTTGTGGCCTGAGCCTGAGTGATATAAAATAGTCACAAGTTTGTGTGCCGGTGCCGGAGGAGTCTTTTAAATCACCGCCCACATCCTCTGGCCCGGGAAAATTCCATATAGCCTTAAAGGCGAGGAAAGGGAGGACGATAAAAAAAAAAGCCTAGGGAGGTGAAGGGCAGGGTGGCCGAGCAGGCTTACGCTTAATGCACAGCACCGCGCTGTTGGGACTTTTATGCCATAATTCCTCTACCCTCTTCCCCGGCTAGGGAAAAACCCTGTGTAGCCTAAAATGCAAGGAAGGGGTGTTAAAAAAAAGGAGCTCAGAGCGGGTGCAAGCATGTGTGTCTCAACCTTCATACTGTTATCTAGAATTTTATCTATCCTTTTATTAGTTTTTTTTATTATTATATCTTACCCTTCTAAATTAGTTAATTAGTGTGTTACTTATAGAATCTTTGTGATTCTCTATTGTTTATAGATGGATTTTTAATGACTGTTTATTGAAATTAATTTATTCTGGTTGCCAATGTTTTTTCATAAACATGTGGTGGGCCATCATCTCTAATAAAAAAAATCTGATGCGCGCAACACACAAATTTCACTTACCGCTCAACTTTGAATAGAAATTATTTTCTGGCCATGTTGGGCTATTATATAATTTTTGAATTGTATTTTTAACTGAGCTAACGCTAAAAAATTACAGCTAACAAATCATAAACACCATTAAAATAAAAGTTTTATTTATTATATCATGGGTTGATTATGGATTGTACGACTATTAGTTATTAAACTGTTATTTCCCATTGCAAAGTTTACTAAAACGGAATTAAGAGATTTGCTTTGTCTGTCATAGACAGGTCAAAAGTTATCACACTAATTGTAAGTGGTTACTGTTGGAATATCACAAGGGAAAGTTTCTTCAAATTATTCACCAATTTAATATTCTAAAAGGTTACATGATGATTTTTCAGAATAAACGGACGATAAATACCTAAATATTTAAATACAATATCAGATCTAGAGTTATTAAACTACAGTAAATATATTTAAAGTTATAAACACATACTTTATTCATCCATGAAATAATTTTATATTTTACTTCTTCTTTCACACAAGTACAGTGAAATAGTATTTTAAACAATGGCATGGCTTGTTTCGTTGGATTTTAAATACTTTTCTTTCCCTCTTAGAAAAACATTTAAAAGTTTAAATATAGTAAGAAAATTTCATTTAATTTCCTTGGAAACATATGATTTATTTATGATGTTTTTGCCACTCTCCTTCACCTTTTACAACTTTCCATGTTATATATTGTTTCTTCTAAAAATCTCCGCTTTCCAACGATATACTATACCTTCTGATTAGTATTTCCGGAGATTCATTTTCAACCTGGATAAGCATTTTAATTTTTTTTCTCCATTATTCAATTATCAAATTCTTTCAAAAGTTATATTTAGCATTTTTTCCTAACTCTTAATATTGAGAGATAGTTAATAATGTAAAATAAACCATATTAAAGGTACTTTAGAGAAAGACGCATATGCACATTGGGCATTTAAGTCCTGTAAAGTGACATCAACCTAAATGGGTTAAGACCTAAATGATATTAAAGACCACTTAATTATACAATGATACACCGAGGTTAATCAAAGTCGTTAGAGCCGTTTTTGAGAAAATTGTAAAAATGTGTTTCACCGTTATATAAAATGGCATGTCTGGTTAGGCGATTTTAAGGAAAAAGTTGGTAACACATCTAAGGCATATATTTATCTTAAATACGTATTATCAGTTTTGTACGACTTTTCGTTTTTGAGCTAGACTGCTAACACACACCCATACACAGACCATTTTGTCTGCATGTCACTGCCACCGATTATACTCTTTTTATTTGTTATTGTTCTTTATTTTATACATGCTTTTAGTCCAGTAAAGTTAGGGGAAAAAACAGCATTACTTCAAATTTCAAAAAATAAAGATGAAATTTGTCAGAAATTGTTCATTAGCTTCATCATAATAACTGGTAAAAAGTCCCAAAGAATCCTGCATTAGGTTTTGATGGGGAGAGGGGGAGAAGGACAGAAGAATGTCTCAAAATCTATGTAAAAATGACCCTATACATTTTTTTTATAAAATCAATATTTATTGCATTTCCACTTTAAGCAAAAATTGCTCCAAAGCACAAATGGATGTTGTTCATAGTAGACAATACCTTTTTGAAGTTTAAGTAGTTTTTTTAACATTTTAGATCGTTCAAATTATTATTCAAAGTTTCTTTCTTTTAATGATTCTTAAAAAGTCATTGACAACAGAATTATATAAATTTTGTAATTTTTAAGCCAACCTCGTTTTAGGAAGAATAAAAAGCAATAAATAAAAAATATTTAATTTTTAAAGGGAACTTTTAAGCAGTTAAACTACGGTAAGTTCGGGTTTTCATAGAATCAAGGATTCTTCGTTATTTATTTTGTAAGTCCCCAACTAGACTGAAGATACCACACTTTTAGAAAAACTTTCTTGTTTGATGAGCTTTAAGTCTGTATTAATTAAGTTGTGGTTTGTTACAGATTAAGTTGAGATTAATCCCTAATTTAGTAAAAAGACGTAAACATATTTGGGTTGATTCTTAATTTTACTGTATTAATAATATTTTTACTCAATTAGAGAAAATGTAAACTCGACTTAATTAATTAAAGAATCCAAATTAATGATCCAAAATGTTAAAGAAACTAATTAAACTTCTTAAAAAGTTTTAAGTAAAAAAAACTTACTGGCCATTGCCAGTACTCCAATATATTCATATTTACAAAAGGTCGCATGGCCACTGCTGTTTTAACCTCCGGCGAGGATTGCAGGGATGGCTGGAGCTAGATAGGGATTGTGCTACAGGATTTGGATGATGAGTGAAGTTCTGGTGAAATTTGGAAAATTTCTCTGAGATTAGGTCAATAACAAATGGGATATGAATGTCATTATGGAGTGTTTTCATGTGTTATTAAATATCCCTGTGTAATATTGCTCTGTTGTATTTCAATTGTTTTTTAAAAATCCAAAATTTGTCTCTTTTATTCATAGCTCTAGTTTTGTTATGATGTAATTTTTAATTTGTAGTCTTAATGACCCACATTTTTGGGTTAAAACATTGGCAACCAAATTTAGACTGAAAATCTTAACCGAATATTGTCTTAGACAATAATTTTTATATTATATTATGAATCATATGCGTTTTCTTCAAATTCATTCTAAATGCTTCTATTTGTGAAAATTTTATTTTATTAAATTTCAGCAAGCATCAACTCAAACACCAACTTCACTTATGCCATCCCCGCCTCAGCCCATCTTTTCTAAGAGTAAAAGAGCTTCTTTGTAAGTATTGACTTTTGTATAATAACATAATTGAATGAGCTACAACATATATATGCATTTAATTTGATGTATTTTTTTAAATAATTTGTTTAATATATCTTCACGCCTCTAGGATAGAACAACAAATGCAGGCTGACAGACAAGGTGCTTTAAATCCTGATTGTAAAACTCCATTTCTGAGTAAGAGTGATGCTGTCAAAAGGTTAATTCGTTACCATACTATGAATGAACCTGTACTTAGTGAAAAAGACCTTGCAAAAGCTGATGAATTATTTGAGCAAACAGCAAAACATCTGCTCGACAAGAAAAATCACTTGTATAATAAATTTACTTTTCTCATACTTAAAGAAAGTATGGTAAGTAGAATTTAATTATAAAACGTATTTTTTTAGTTAGTCAATAAATATAAGTAAATATCACAGTATATCTATAGACTGAGAAAAGTGGGAAAATTTAGATAATTTCATTATTCTAGAAAAATCAGGAATTTTTCAAAAATTTAATGGATAATAATTTTTAAATTTAATTAAAATTACAGATGTAGTACATGTATACATCACATAACTTTCATTCATCACCCTACTTTCAGTTTAAATTAATAAACTTGAGGAATATTACTTGAACTATGAATATAAACCCACAATTACTAATAAATACAAGAAGAATGCACAATTTATTTTGGTTGTGTCTCAAAGTAAATTTTTAAAGTTTACATGTTTCTGTGGAAATTTCATTGAATTTTCATGGAAATCTTCATTTTTTGTTTCATACTATAAAATTATAAATTACAAATGTTAACTACTATAATATATATATATATTTTTTATTCATTCTTTGGCACTCTTTCTGAACTTCTGTGATTTTATATGTTAAATATTAATTTTTCAAAATTCTTTGGCTTTCCTACCAATGTTATATTATACATATATATTACTACTCATATTTCTTGAAATTATTTATTATTCTTATTGTATTTAAGGATAGGAAAAGTCAGATAATCTGACTGAAAATTTTGTAGATATTCTCCATTAACTATTTGCCTAAATCTTGGTTTAATTTCCAAGTGCATTACTTCTATTATATGAAATCAGTATTGGTCTATCCATGAAGTGGTTCACTATCTCTGATGAAAAAACTTACTTCCCACTATTGCTAATATTAATATGGAATGAAGTGTTTGTTTGGTATTCTGTTATTAGTAATTTCTGAAAATCTTTTCACGAGGAAGTTATGTAATTTTAACAGTAAGACAAGAATCTTCCAAACCCAAGAAAATAAGAAAACATTTATTTTATAGATAAATATATACAGGTATAAATCTATTCTTTTTTTTTTTTTTTTTTTTTTGGTCCTTCCCTTCCTTGCCGTTAAGGCTATACGGGATTTTCCCGGGCCAGGGAGTGTGGGCGGGGATTTAAAAGACTCCCCCGGCACCGGGACGCGAACTCGTGACTATTTTTATATCTTTGTATTCATATGTCAGGTTGCCAGGCAACGGCGGTGCAGTGCACACGCTTTAGCCCATTCGGCTACCCCGCCCACAAATCTATTCCTTTAAAAAAAATCTTTGAATTCCTTGAAAAAATCTTTCTATTCCTTTAAAAAAAATACTTGTATAATTTAGTATTTATTTGACCTTCCCCCCCCCCTCCTTCCCCCCCGATTAACTCCTCATATCATATCACGGTCGACCATCTCTACATCATTTAAAAAAAAATCGTGAAAATCCTATCCAGTAAACCTCATGAAATTCAATTCAGTTTTGGTTATTTTATGCAATTTTGTTTTTGTAAAAATTGATTAGTTAAAAGTTATCAGAAACATTTATTGTAAAAATACTGTCTGTTTTAAGATTTAGTAATCGCATATCGATCATATTTTCATGAAAAGTCACCCACCGATATATTAATGGACCTGCATAACAACAAAATCTGAAAAGTTACAAGAACTCAATATGAGTTTGCAATATTAATATTGCTCTGCTTACACAGAGAATAGACATGGGGTCCTCCTCCACAGTTCCATCACTCTATAACAAAGATATTATTTAGAAACTATATTTTGAATGAGTGATGTTTTCTTTTTTATTTGAACAGCAGTGTTTTTATTTTTACCTGTACTTTTTTAATTAAGAGAAGGTCTAACGTTTTTAGAAATCTCACCATCACTAACGGCATAAACCTCTTTATCATTTTTCGCTAAGATTTGATTTTCTTTCTCTTTGTTGCTGGTTGAAGTTATGAAAAGTTCTGTTACACGACTATGTTCCATAATGAAGACAGATTTTGAAGAAAAATTTTCTTCGAAAGCTCTTCTTGTTTCGGCACCCAAATTATTTATTGACAAATAGAGTTTAATGAAATCCCCTTCATCCGGAAGATTTAATTTCCAAAAGATACTGAAATTATTTTCGCAAATAATTGAAAATATTTGCAAGTTTGCATAAGAGGATCTAGTTAATGATGTAACATTGGTAATTTTCGATAAGCAGAAACTGGCTAAGCGATGCTTATTTTCATACCTTGTCTTTAAAGCTTCTTTAGCCAATAAATAGTTTTGTGGTGTAAATTCAAAATGGGATATCACGGTTGCCGCATCATCTTTTAGACGTGTTTTAAGGTATTGAAATTTTTCAATTTCATTGAGTCATTAATACTTTCATTTTGGTCCATCAAACTATTAAATAAATTTCCACGAATGTTCAATGTACCCCAAAAAGGAAGGAAGTGAAATGGTTGTTAGTTTGATAATTAGAGTTAGCATAACTCACCTCACCTTCATCCTTTATAGGAACAACCCTTGCCAATGATCAAGATTTCCCTTAGCCTCATCTACTAAATCATTAAAAGCTGCACCAACTTATGCTGTTTCTAAACATTATGATTCGTCTAATACCGAAACAATATGTTTTTTAATGGAACTTTGAATATTGTTGAACTTTTTCTCTTTTCCAAATCTAGGTTTTTAGAATTATTATAAATGCTTTAGACCTAAGCGAATATATCTTCCCTATTATTTTTTAGTAATTATGTCTACTGCTATTCGGAAAGATTTTATATTATGATTAGTCAGATACAACTAAGTATTGTTCTTTATATAACTTATTAATTGAAAAATATATGAATTAATATTAGGTACTAAATTAATTCTATAACATAAACACTTAAAAATATTTTTCTAATGTACTGTATAATTAGAACAAATAATCAATATATAAATAGGCAAACACAAAACGGTTCAGCCCCTTTTTCTCCTCTAATATTCAACTGATTTTCTTCCTTCTTGTTTTGTTTAATAGCTATTGACGAGCTTTAGTTTTATAAATAAAATTATGATGTAGTATGTAAATAAAAATATAAATGATAGTTAGTTCAAAACGGCTAATCTCCAAAAGTTTTTCATCGATTTCTTTGAAATTTTGTCACAATGTTACAATAATATTTAGAAGTGTTTTTTTATACGTTTCATTATCATCAGGCCTTTCCTTTCAAAATGGCGGCCAAAAAACGTGATTTGCTTTAGACTGTAGCTCCGATACTGTTTCAACGATTTTAATGAAACTTGACTAAAGTCTTTCCCTTGAAACATTTATAGTTTATGTATATAACCTACTTTCCCGAAAACAAACTGCAAAAATTTTTATGATAAATTCAGTATTTTATTTTGCGAATAACTCAAAAAGTACACATTTTTTTATTGATAATACCAATATTTATTTGAAAGCTTCCTGAATTTCCTACAAAATAGAAAAAAAAAAAACCATTGAAATCGGACTATTTGTTAAAGACATATCATTTTAAACATTTAGTACTTTTTCTTTTGCAAAGTCTATTTCCATTATTTTGGTTTTTGATAAATTGAAAACTTTACATTTAATGAAGTAATCGGGACTGATATCATTGAATGTTATTAGAATGTTACCTCATAAATTAAATTTAAAAGTAAATTTTATATTTATACTCATTCTTAACTTAAATACTGCACAAGCATTATTTAATGGAACACGAATGAGAGGGAATAACTAACAGGAGCTACTTTAAATAAACGAATTTTAATTCCAAAAATTAATTTAATATTTTCTGACACAATATTTCCATTCGAATTTCAAAGAACAACATTCTTATTAATAACTGTATTTGCTATGACCATTATCAAATCGTAGGGTCTAAGTTTTGGAAAAATATGTATATTATTGCGACGTCCAGTAATTTCGCTTGGACAATTATATGTGGCAGCAAGTAGAGCTTGTATGTTCATTTCAAATTTTAAAATTTATATTTTCAATGGCAACAGTCAAGGCTATGTACTAAACAATAACAGAACATTCAAAAAGAACATTGTTTACAGAGAACTTCTGAATAAAAATGTATTTAAACTGAATTGAAATTGCTAATTTAAATTTATTTTTTACTTGCTTAATCATAACTAGAGACTGGATTTCCAAGGTATTGCACTTTTTATTTGCTTGCGTGTAAAAACTCCGGACCCAGATATCTATCAGGATATCAGGATCAGATATCTATCCATTTCAGGACCTGTAGAATAACATATTTAAATTTTATATTGCATGTTTTGTCGTTTTTGCGATTTTGTGCTAAATTAGACAATTTATAAATATAAATGTATAAGTGTGTGTTAATATTTATTTTACTATATTGTTCAAATTAAATTCATTACTCAATAGAAAAACATGAGGAAAGCAAATAATCCTATTCATTCCAAAAGGAAGAAGTAAACACAAGTGAGATCTATTCTTGAAATAGAACTAGCCTAAAGTATTGGATAATATAAAGCTGCTTTCCCTGCATTCCACTACACAGCAATGTCATCGTGTGGTAGATGTAGCCTCCTCTGCATTAGAGCTGGAGCTGGAGCTCGAAATGTACTGTACGGGAGTCTTTCTCGACGTTGAATATGCGTTTGATAGAGTTTAGCACCTGGGACTGCTGCGAAACTCCGAAAATTCCTACCACCTACATACTTCCTCATTATCTGTTCCTACCTTACTGATAGATACTTTGAAGTAAATCACAAAAACGCCTATTTATTCCTTTTTTCCCAGTCCGCTGGTGTTCCTCAAGGTAGTATCCTAGGTCCTACCCTCTATACAGTTTATATAGCTGACATCCCTACCTATCCCAACAATGTCATCACCACATATGCCGATGACACATGTATCCTATCAGTAAATAATGACCCATCAATTGCATCCCAAATGCTTCAATCACATGTCATAATTCTTGAAGAATGTTGTAAAAACTGGAGAATTAAAATAAACCAATAAATCCCACCAAATTACCTTTACCCTTTGTCGTAAACCAACGACTTCCTGTCCTACAGTTTCCTTTAACTATAC